TGTCTGTGTCTGTGTCTGTGTCTGTGTCTGTGTGTGTGTGTCTGTGCGTGTGTGTCTGTGTGTGTGTGTGTGTGTGTCTGTGTGTGTGTGTGTGTCTGTGTGTCTGTGTCTGTGTCTGTGTCTGTGTCTGTGTGTGTGCGTGTGTGTCTGTGTGTGTGTGTGTCTGTGTGTGTGGTGTGTGTGTGTGTGTGCGCGTGTGTCTCTTTTTCAGGGTACACCATTTTGGTGGGTGTTAGAGGGAAACAAAATGGAAAGCCATCATTTTCGGGTGTCCCTCAAACAAAGACACACCCACATATCACCTTTGCAAGTTGGTAAAACCTCCACAAATTGTCGGCCATCCGGGCCAAACATTGATTTGTTTCGCACTGGCCTGAGATACTTAAAACAACCCATTTTGAAAGATGAGTGCGTGCACACCAACTATCCTGAAAGAAGCTTAACATGTCTGTAAAGAGAGTTTTTTTCCCTTGAACTTTTTGCGGTTGCAACCTTGATTTACCAAGTTTTGCAACTGAGTCTTTGTTTGCCCAGGTGAACAAATGAAAAGAAGCCAAGCCTGCGCAAAGTCAAATTTATCGCCACCAACCTGAAGCGCTCAGCCCGCTTTCCAGACGTGGATTTCCCCCGCTTGAAGGGGGTCCATTGCAGAAAACCGGTCAGGCAAAGCAAGGTTCTCTGGCCCCTGGGAGAAGAAGAAAAAACACCGAGAGGACCTTTGGGGTCCGTAAATAGGTGTATGATTTGCCCGGAGTTTTCGCTTCCTTGATGCTCTCTCGCAGCCAAATCCATGTCCTTAACTTCTCTGCAACCAATCCCTGGCATGCGACCGACACGAACAATTAGATAACTCTCATAATGGGTTGACTTCATGCAAAACGGGGCTCCAGCTTAAGTTTGAGGCTGTGTGAAGAGCCTGCAGCCTTCAGTCCTGGATATCCACCGATATTTTCAACTCTGGCTGAGTCTTTCACTGCCCTGTAATTTGTTTTTTTGTCTGCTCAGCAAGGAACGCATCTTCCAAACGTCATGAGGTCAAAAGGTGTCATGAGATCAATGGACCCAGCTTGCTTCACTCCGATATGCACCAACGGGCGCCAAGTCTGTTCATTCGATGCCCTCGCCTCTGGATAGGTGGCGCGACTCCGGCGCCTGGCAGTCGATGCCCACAAATTGAGCCGAGTTCGCTCGCTCAGCGATGAATCGGCTATCCGTTTAGTGAGGTTGGCACGCCCTGAAAAGCAGATGATTTCCAAAGGATACCAAAAGGAATCCAGAAGTCACTTTGGGGTTGTCCATGTTATTGTTAGAGACAAACTCGCACGGGTATGTCGCAGACAGGGACGGGTGCCTCAAGATGGTAAGTTTCATCTCAGGACGGACGTCGGATGCCAGCGGTCAGGGTGACGTTTGTGGACGGTCACTTTTGCTCCTCGGTTGAGTTCCGAAGGATAAAATTTGCCAAGGCCATAGACTTCAACCCATACCTTCACGAGTCTTGACCACTAAAAGGGGTACCCCCTGAAGGGTCGGAAGGAGACTCCCCGGAGGATTCGCAGAACTTGGCAAAAAGTTGCCCCGGAGGTCGAGCCTGAGCCAAAGGCTGAAGGCTGAAGGTAAGAAGAAACTGCTTGCTCCATTTGTGTTTTCACTGGGCTGTCCGTTGTCCGATCTGCTGAAAGTCACATTAAGTTGTTAGTTAAATGAAAACCCAACCACTAAACCCACGAAAAAGATCCAAAGCCAAGGAACCGGATGGCTGGGAGCAAGCTGGAAAAAGCAAAGGGAGATCGGACAAGCAAACATATTTTTCGGGAAGCACCAAGCAGCACTACCCTCGGCTGAGAGGAATGTCTTCCAGTGACCTCCAGTCAGCTTCCCTCCTGTGTGTGTGTGTCTCAAAAGGACTAAATCCTACGAGTTGGGTCCTTGAGCATCATCTGTTTTGCTGCTTGTTCTCTTGGTCTAGGCTGGGAACTGATGTTTGTTCATGATGTCGACGTACTTCACACGTTCATCATGGAAGCTCTGCTTTTTCCCCAATGATTGCGGGTTAAAGCTGAAACTCCTTTAAAATTGCGCGAAGGCGATTGCGGGTTCCGTTGTGGCGAAGGCTCGCATTCTCCACAAAAGGCTTTCTTATCGTCGATCTAAGCATCGGTCCCATATTGATTAGGCACCCCCAAGGGGTGGTCTGGATTTGTCGCTTGGGGATTTTAAGCTCCAGTTCAGAGCTACTTTTGAAACCACATGGCCCCCACAGAAGTCCAAACCACTAAACCAAACACCAACAATTATTGGAACACATTTGGGTTACACAGAAAAACAAGATCTGATTATGTTTCATACTTAGGTCTACCTAGAGCCTCCATGACCCCTAGAAAAAGGAGTCCTAACCTCTTCATTTCGGGTGATGACCCCCATTTTTGAAGGGTCATGAAGACTCCAGGTAGCCTAAAATCTTATCACCGTTTCGGAGGAGACCTCTCAGAACTCTGTGGAAATCCGACCATCTCGCCAGTGCAACCAGCTACCAGCCCCCGTCGCCTGCAGGTGGCCAGGAGGTTGGGTACTGGAGCCTGTGCAGCCCGTCTGAAAAAACCTTTTTGTTCAGGATGCGCCTTGAACTACTTGCCTCCATTTAATTTACTTAAGCCCCCTGTAGAAAAGCAAGCAATATTTCCAGTAGTGATAGACTCCCTTTAAAGCCAAAAGGAGACAATCAGCAATATTCTTAAGAAAATGGAAGCTTGAGTCACAATCAAAGCCCGGTATTAAAATGGTTGACCCAGAACCATGTAAGAAACATTGAAAGGCGGCCGCAACTATGTATGGCTGGGATGGTCCCTTACTAACCTTCATCTACCCGAATCGGTTTTGATTGTGGGTCACTTGGATATTCGTGGCCCAGGTAAGCGGGTGAAGTCCACCGATCCGGGAGCTTAGGTGAGTAGGAAATGAACTCCTAGGCTACAAACAACTCACTAAGTTGGCGAATCAAAGACCCAAGTAGGGAACCAGAGTTCCGAGCTCCCTTGTCTAGGTCCTCCAGTAGAGAGGATAGAATAAGTTGGTACCCGATTTTTTTTCTGTGGTCCATTTTAGTAGGGGAACCCTCCCCCAAAAAAGGGAAAAGGGGCACTACTGGGGGACCTAGTTGTTCTCACAACCTACACCAATGTTCTGCCTGAAAACATGCAGGGGCTTTATGTTCCTGGCTTTTTGTGGGTGCCCTTTAGGCATCTCTCTGAGCGAGTCACGGGCGGGACATGCACCTTGCTGAGTGAAGAACACACTGTTGTCGGTACGGGAGTTTCTCAAACCGGATCTCCTTTTAGCTGTCTTTTAAATGTTGACCCTGTATCAATCAACCCCAGTTTGTGAATACGTGGCTGTTCCCCTCCAAAAGTGGTCCGATTCCTCACTAAACTCAGGGACACCGAACACCCCCCTATGAATAAACTGGTTGATTGGAATTCATATTGGGGGTCAACGCTTCACCGGACACCCAATTAGGTCCTCCAGTAGAGAGGTTAGAAAAAGTTGGTACCCGATCTTTTTCTGTAGTCTATTTTACACTTGGGGAACCCTCTTTTAAAGGTAAACAAAAAGAGGGCACTGGGGGACCTAGCCAACGTGTTTTAGGGGACGGCTTGATGTTGAAACACCCAACCGGGAAACCAATTGCCCTCAAGGTGTGGCAGACTGATTCCACGACCAAAAAGCGGTCGGGCGGGGATGTTTTTTTTGGTCCGGTTGGGTATGGAAGAAAAAAAGCACCAGGAATTGGACCACAGGTCCTTGGTAACCCATTTTCCAGGGCAACCCATTTTGGGGTTGCGCAATTCTTTTAACCCACACCCAGTCCAATCCAAACTTCACTTCAAGCGATCCATGCCCGTCCTCTCGCAGGGAGTGTAGCAAAGGTACGTCTCCTTGCGATTCGATGCACGTGGACTTTCGTGATTCGAAACGCATAGCCCTTTGCAAAATGATTGCCCTCTCAAATGGAAGTCTCCTTTCCGAGAGGAAAGGGCTCACCTTGCAAAACTGTCAAGCCATGTTCGTTGGGAGGGTAGTCTGCTTGGTGCAAAGACACCCTCACACACTTACACTTGACAAAGATTGACCACGGGGTCCCTTGTCCAGGTCAGTTCAACAAAGCATGTGGGAATGCGTCCATTTGTATGAGCTGATTCTCAGTTCCAAGGATCTGGAAACGGCTAACATCTAAGGACCTCAACTGACTGACCAAAATGGGAAGCCCAAAGGTCAAAAGGTCGGCAAATGAGATCCGGCAACGACCCGGAAAGCACGTTGGATAACCCAGAAAACAACCCGCCGCCCGCCTGAGTAGTTGTTTGACTTGTGCTATTGCCAACGCCCAGCTGCGCCCAACTCTCATTGCAACTTTTGAAGGATTGCCACATACCCCTTCCCTGCAAGGCACCACAAAGGCATGGACATTAAATTCTAACTGGGTGCATCAGGGGTATATTGCATCAATACATCCATAGGGAATATCAGCACCTACGAGGTGCGTTGTTGGTCAACACATGATTGGGATATGAAGTTTAATCGCCGGCATATGGCACCAGGTAGGTCGGAAAGCATTGGCCACAACCGCAATGTGCGATCCTGCCAAAAAGGGAACTCTTAGGCCTCCGTCCAACAATAAAAACGGCTTACCACTGCCATCCTCCCAAAAAGGCTAGTTGTCCAGGGCCAGAGTTGAAGAAAAGCAATTTGGCTGTGGCTCAAAATCATGCACCAGAATGGCACCTGGGTACAACCCAAGACTAAAACCTGCCCTTGGCTTGCACCCGCCACACCGGCCGCACTTTTGAGATCCATGCATCGCCGCTCGCCATGCAGGTGCACGCATTTGAAACAAAGACCATCTGGATAATATAGGGAGGCCCCAAATTGGAGTTCCTTCAGTTCCTCTTGTAAACACCCTACAAAAAGGTGCCTCGAAAGAAGACACACAGATTTTACAATGCGAACTTCTTCCACCAGCTGCGTGCCCTGCGCGCGTTTCCCCATAGGTCGACCATCTCAGGCGCCTCACATCACGCAGCGCTTCCAGCCAGAGGTAACCGAACCAAACCATTTGGCTGTCTCTTTTTTGGGGTGACTACGTAGAAATCGGTGCTTTCCTTTTGGCTTTCCTTTGAAACCACAAAAAGGGTACCCACAACAAAAGACTGACCCATTTGACAGGGTATCCAACTGGTCCTACTGCAACAAGGAGGCGCGGGAAAATTGAATCAGCCTTTAATGTCATGGTGTTCTTGCGACGCTTCAAGCGGGAAAAAAACCCATGTCATTCACGTAACCGAAATGAGTTGTGTAACTAACTGAACGACATGAAGGGGACACCTGTTCCACAAGCAAGATACAAGTCCGTCAATTCCGAGGGTAAAAGTGAAGCTAGCAAGCAACAGCCTCTTATCAAGCAACCTTCCAGGGATCTTCTACAGGGAAGGGCCAAACACACCGGCCGCCCCGCCCCCCCACAAAGACCCCAACCGCCAATCCTAGGGGGGGTCTTTAGTGTAGTGGTGTGTGGGGTTCTGACATGAAAGCTGATCTCGCTCAATTTCAAAAACGCGACCCAGAAACCAAGAACGCAAGTAGCAACACACACACAGAATGCAGCCAAGATCTTTCAAGCAAAGAGCATAATTTCTTGCAAGGTGCTTCATGTTGATTTGCTTCGCGGCTTTACCGGAACAGTCAACATCTGTTGCCTGGTTTTAATAATGATTTCATGAAGCCTCCAACATACCTTTTCGAGCATATCCCGGACACCTAGAGAAAGGGCTCTTCATCGGAGGCGAGGTGTCTGCTGAAATGGTATGTGAGTCACAATCAAAACCTGGTGTTCAATAGGTCTCCCCAAATCTAGGTAAGGAAATTGAAAGGCGGCCCCGCCGATTTCCGGCGGGGGAGGCCCCTCAACCTTCATCTACTCGGGTTTTGATTGTGGCTCTATTGGAAAACCCACCCCTTTCGCAACCCGTGGACCACCCCGGGCTATTGGTATGTTGGGTTGCTGTGGCTCACTGGGATGTTCGTTGCCAAGGCAAACGGTTAGCCAATCCAATAGGAGGGTTAGTTCCGCTGATCGGGGAGCTTGGGTGAGTGGGTTGCAACTCCCAGGTTTTCTACCTGGGTGTTGATTGCTCATGTTGGCTTGGTTGACGTTGGAAGGGGCGCATAAATCAAACAAAATAGCAGTTAAGTGGTTGGATTTTAACCACTAAACAACAATAAGCAAAAATGTAAGATGCTTCCCAGCAACAACCATGTGAGTCACAATCAGGCGGCCGCAACCATTTCTGGCTGGGACTGCCCCTCAACCTTCATCTACCCGGGTTTTGATTGTGGCTCATGTTGAGTTGGAATGATTTTCCACATTCAACTGAATCTTTTCCCGAGCGGCCGCATTTCTCGGCCTTCCCGAGGGAGTCCTGGCAACCCGACGACTCGGGGAGCCAACGCGCCGCGGATTTTTTTTGTTTCATGTGAGGGGGGCCAATAACCCGCGCTTTGGCTTACTTTTGTTCTTTGACTTTTTTTGGGGTTAATGTGAGGGGAAAAATACCTGGAACGCCCAGGATAGACCTTGTTGGGGCGCGTGTGGTTTGATGATGTGCAGTTCAACTCCCCCCCTCCCCGAATCACCACCGTCACGGAACATGACTGAAGGTTGCTTTGACTACCTATCCTCTCGCTCATGCCAGACATCGACCCCACTTGCGAGTGCTGCCGAGTGAGTGAAAGGAAGACACAGCCCCTACTTAGGAGCCCGGCGTCTTTGGCGTCTTTGGGCTCCTAGCAAACCTGCACGAAAAGGACTTCACCTCCCACAACGCCGTGGAACGCCACCATCTCAACTGGATGTTGTGCATCAGTATCCCAAGCAGCTTGCAAGCCTACGGAAGGCAGAGTTCACATGACTCAAGGCAAGCTGTCCGTCCAAGGCGCTCGCTTTCTCCAGGACCCTTTTTAACCATGCCCCCGTGCCTTTTTCCCCCCCTGGCCAAAAGTTTGGCCCATCGAAACCTGAAATGGTGCCAAGAATGGGCCGCATTTTTGTTGGGGGGGGGGAATTAAGTTGACCCTTCGCAGCCTCCATAACAACAGAACAACGGGCAAACACTGGAAAGCTCAAGAATCAACTGGCCTTCTCGACCAGTTCCTGCTCGTCTTAAACAAGAGCCCTTCGGATTCAGGTTGCGGCAACTCTTGTTGATACATTTCAAGGATATGCCGTTTGCCATTCAGTCCGCAGCCATGCTCTTTGGACGTGAGCGGTGCACCAAACCCGGCCCAATGACCCTGCGCGAAAAAGTGAACCCTTTATAAGGTTCCCGACATGTCAAAAGTGGAGAAAGCCCCCAAACGAAAAGGAATTTGGAGGGTGCAACTGGCATGCTTGTGCACGTGATCCGGCCACGGGAAAAATGACTGAGAAGCCCAGAGCAACCGCAACACCAGAAGGGGTGCCACTGGCATTTTTGTTTTTTCCAACCAGGGCGGTTGCAACCCGACCACTGTCTCCCTTCCAGAGGCCCCTTCCAAAGGGCTGCGCAACTAGGTCGACGTTGATTTGAGATGTTGCCAACTGCCAGCATGAAACGTTCTTGCATGTTGATGAAAAAGGACGACGGAAGTGGGTGGGGAGGAACAATCACGTTTCAGTGCAAGCTACACAATTAGACGCGAATCCGAATAGTGCGAATTCAGACCATCCGAGAAGATAAGTTGTGCGGAAGACAAGCCCACAGGAAAAGTTCAGAAGGAACCTTCTTAGAACAGGTTCTCAGAAGAGTTCTGACAACCTTTCTCAATGAGCAATTAGGGGCGGCGCCCTCTCTTGATTCCCAGTTGCGTCCCATGACTGTCTGCTTGATCACAAAAGAGATCCCCACTGATCCAAACTGGGTACCTACAACCCAATTCCCCACAACCCTGTTTTCCAAACGGAGGATCTGTGAAGGCCATAGGCAGGGGGTGTCGCTTTTCTGGTCGTGCAAGGTGAATTCCAGCACCAATGGTTTGAACCAAGTCATAAACTCCTAATGGAAACCAGACCCGACCAGCTAATCATATCAAACTTCAAATGAGCTAAAGTTGAAACTCGTTGTATGGCCGATTGGGTCGTGAAAAGGAATCATAAATCATAACTGTTATTGATGATCCTTACTAGCAGGTGGATGACCACCCTACTAACCCGAAGCCAACAAAAACAAAACTGTCTTTTGACCATGGCGCAAAAAAGCGTGTATCCTTTTAAAAGGGGACCCCCCTCCAAAACGGTTCGTTTCCCTTTGGTTTCGCGACAAAAAACATGCCCAAAACGGGTACTCTCAACAACAAGACACCCCCCACCCGTGGCTTAAACAGGGATCCTTACATTATACACCTGAACATTGCCTTCTAAATGGAGGTGTCCCTTTATTTTGGTGGAAAAAGCCACATCTGTCAACTGGTTGCAAAGTCTCTAGATCTTTTAAGGAGCCCTGTGAAACCTAGCGCTGGCCCCGAGGTGTTTATTCGCTCCTGATACATCTGCGCCAAACGCAAAGCCCCGAAGAGCGCTGCGGCGCCCAAGCTGGCATAGACCTCGGGCAGGGCACCCGGTCTCTGAAACCCAGACACCAGGAAGTTCTACAGGGAACCCCGGATTTTGCGGGGAAAATCTGGCGAGTTTCCTCCCGGTTTGGGGGGCGTGAAGGAAAACCAGAAGGATGCGTCTTTGTCTGCCTCTCTCTGCCTGGCTGGCTGGCTGGCTGTGTGAATGTGTGAATGTGTGAATGTGAATGTGTTATACGGGGCGTGAAGGAAAACCAAAACGATGCCAACCATTTGGGAGGTCCCATATTACTGTCTGTCTGTCTGTGGCTGTCTGCTTGTCTGCCTGTCTCACTGTCTGCCGCTGTCTCTGCCTCTGTCTCTGTCTGCCTCTGTGTCTCTGGCTGTGTGCGTGTGTGTCTTCGTGTGTGTGTGTGTGTGCTTTTTTGTGTATGTTTCTGTGTGTATGTGTGTCTGTGTCAGCAGGACAAGCAGCAGCACCACCACCACCAGCAGCAGCAGCAGCAAAGCATCTGCTGGATGTGGCGATGAAGCAGCTCAATTTGTGTGTGCTCCAAGGAAATTGCATTGTAAAAGTTTGCGGCATTAGCAGTTTGTGATGCGCCGAAGCCGATGCACATCCGCAAGCTGATGCAACTTAACTGTAGTACTGGCACATACCTGTTTTAACAAAATATATTCAATATATACCTGCACGTACATATATGTGTATATATATATATATGTATATATATATATGTATATGTATATATATATATATATACATATACCCCCCCCCCCCCCCGGGACCCCCCCCCCCGAAGAGCCTACGCACTTGCTATATATATATATATATGTATATCTGTGCTCACACCCCACCCATGTTCCACTTGTCCTCCTTTGCACACCTTCCATTTTTGAAAATCCACTCAAAAGCTACCACAGCTCTGCATATCTGCTCATGTGCGATCTTCCACCTTTTCAAATCTGCTCCACAACTGTCCATTGCCTATCCACGTGCTTGCCAAACTGCAATTAACTTTGATTAAAGTCCTGTTTGGAAAGGAACCCTACTTAAATTAGCAATCAAAATAGACATTCAAATTCAATTTACATAGCAATTATCTTTGATTGAAGTCCGATTTGGAAAGTACTTCCTACTTTAATCCTCAATTAGAATAGACATTCAACCGTACATGTTAGTTCTTCAATTCTATCACATTTCTTGAGTAAATCCTATTTAACAGAGATTTAAATTTAAACTCGAATTGATACAGCAAATATATTTGAAGTATGCCCTTGCTAAGTTCTATTCATGCACAGGACGCTTTCTTAGTTTCTAACTGAAGATGGAAGTCTAATGGAGCTCGTGCCCTATTAAGTTCTACGCACGTTCAACATAGAAACCCCACTACACTAGATTTTCTTCCTTTAAACATTGATCAAACCTCAATTGGAGTCCAATTTGGTATAAGGAGCCTTATAAGGAGTTCTTTTTACAGAGCTTTAACAGGAAGGAGCTGTACAAGGAGCCCCGCAAGCAGCTTTTCGAGGAGTATAAGGAGCTTTATAAGAACTTTAACATGTGCACATTATAAGCTGTATACGGAACCTTATATGCAGCTTTGCAATGACCCTTATAAAGAGCTTTATCATGAGCCTTAAAAGGAGCTGTACAAGCATCTATGCAATAAATTGCACAAGGAATTTTAAGGAGCCTTAAACACAGCTTTATGATTTGTTCAGATCTATCCCTTAAGACAACAAACAACAACAATAACTAGAGTTCTCACTAAGAAGGGCCCCAAACCAGAAAACCAGGAAAAAAAAGAAAAAGAAAAAAAACAGGGTCTGGGAGGCAGATGGTGGAGGTCACCCTGGTTTGGAGCCCTTCTTCATGAGGCCCCTGTTTTTTTTTGTTCTGGTTTTTCTGGTTTGGTGCCCTTCTACCAGAAGATCTTGGCTTATTTCCTCTTCCATAGGACCTTGCTTGTTCCTCATTTTTTCAGCTTTTGCTCCTGTTTTTGAGCTTTTTTTGGGCTTGGGGCGTTTTTTTTTGGGGGGGGAGGGGGGGTAACATATATATATATATATATTTTCTGGGTGTGCCCCAGGATAGTAGGCCACCAAACTTGGTTGGCTCCCTTTTGGGTTGCACTTTGAACGCCATTGAATGTCCCCCGAGTAAAGAACTTTTGCAAATGTAGGGGTGTATATGGCACCTTTATCTGGTCTACCTTTAAATTCAAAGAAGCATCGTCATGATCAACATGGCGAGCACATATTATCCTGCAGCAAGCCACATTCCAAACATGTCCTTTGAGTGCTTGCCTCAACTTGTGACTTAATCTCACTGTGAAGCCATGGCCCCCTGCTGATTTTGAGGGAAGCAACCAAGAACACAAGGGTTTGCACCCTTGGTTATTCTGGGCCCATATGTCAAATAAGCCAGCGAGGAGATTGCGGGAGTATTTTCTTCGGAACCGTTTTTGGTTTCCAAGGAAACCCAACAGGAAAGCCACGTATGGGTCCAAGTCCTCGCCGCCCCACGCGCCAAGGCGCATTCAGCAGCCCACTGTAGGTGCCAACGAGCAGCATTAGCCCCGCACCCGCCTTGGCGGATTTTTTTGGGCCGAGCTACCGACCGGAAGCGGCCAGACCCTTCATGGCAGTAAGATCTGGTTGAACGTCCGAAAATGCTGGTGTCCTGCTGGGTGTGCCTTTTTTGGAGGGTACCTTTTTTGGCGGTTTTCCAGGGATCCAAAGGAAAACCATCAATTTGGGGGGTCCTCCAGCAAAAAGACACACCCTTCTGGTCTGGCGGCAAAGCTTGCCTTAAACATACTTCAAATTGTGTCGTTCAACGGCCCCCGCCATAGTTTGAGCCTACCAAATGAATCCCGAGCGTGTGGTCTGAGGGTGTTCGGCCATCACGCAGTATGCACCCTGCAGGCCCGGCGCCGCAAATCCGTTCCGACGGCACAAAAGACAGTCAGCAACTTTGAAGGGGGAATCCCGCAAATGGATCAGCGGTGGAAGGGGAGGTCCAGAAAATCTCATCTACGGGTTGGCGGAAACTCCAGCGAATGGCCGGAAAACTGATCACGGTTTGAAGGGATTCCAGTCAATCGATCCACTGTTGAAATGGGAATGCCATTAAATCGATCAAGTGCTCAAGGGGAAATTGAATCGACCAAGTACTTGAGGGCAACATCCGTGAGCTTGACCATTTGTTGTGACTTTCTTGTGAGTGAAAGGCCACACCCTAAACTCAGCAAGTTTCAATGGGGGCAATCCATTGCTGTGATCAATTGCTGAAGGACAACTGAATGAAGCAACTGCGGAAATTCGGTTGCTCGCAACTTTACAGCGGATTTTGGCTGAATTGATCGGCGGTTGAGGAAGGAAATCTGTTACGTTGATCAAATGCTGAAGGAGTTAGATGGAGGGCACCGCAGCCAAGTAACAGTCATGTGCAACTTGGGGGCATCTCAGATCAGTAAACAGATCGACTTAAGGGAGAACTCCCTGTATGGGTGTGATTTTTTGTTGAGGGTATCCCGTTCTTTTGTGTTCTTTTTCAGGGAAACCAAAGGGATACCCCACTATGTTGGCGGTTCCAGCATCAGAAAAGACCAGCCTCCCACATCGCATCCATGAGGTGCAGGGGAAGTTCCTTTAAAGTGCGCAAGTCCCCTGAAAAAATGCGGTCTTGTCCAGTAGTGAAATCGATTCCCTTTAAAACCAACAGGGAAAACCAACAAATATTCATTTCAGGAAATGGAAGCTGTATCGCATCCACCAAAGAACAACTGCTTGGATTCCAACTTTGACCTTGCAAGGTATATCTAGTCTTCCCCAAAGGGAAACATGCGTTGCCAGAAATGGAGATCTCCAGTCCACCCCCAACTCCACGTGTAAGGGTGGCCATTCATCTAGTCTTCCCATGGCCCATAGGGAAACTGGGTTGCCGGAAATGAGATCTCCAGTCCTTCCCCAAGGCCATTTATCTAGTCGTCCCCCTGGAAAAAAATGGGTTGCCAGAAATGGAAGACCTTTTCTCCAGTTCCCCATTGGCAAACATTGGGATCTCCAGTGGTCGAACGCCCCCCTCCCCCAAGTCCATGTGAACGGGACCCAGGTGGGGCCACCTCGCAAGCTCCCTCGCTCCGTCTCTGAGAAACGCATTGCATCCCCAGGCGCACAGCTAAAGATCTTCTGACGCTGCTTGGAACTTTCCAGGTAGGGCCGGATGCACTGGAGGAACTTCTGCCACCTGAAACGACTGAAACCAAAACCGACAAAACGGGTGCCAAGTACCAGAGTTAACTATGTGTTTGCCTCTAGGTTTATGTGATGGCTGCGTCTGGGTACTAACAAAAGAGCCAACAAAATAGGGTTTCATACCAGGGGTGGTCATATGGGTAAATAAATGAATTGGGTCCCTGACCTCTGGCCCATCAGTCAACCCTCACGACGTTTGTGGAAATTGGGTTTGCAAGCATGATTTTGATGGATGACCGGGGTTGGTTGACTTATAAGCCGTGGTCCTAGTCTACTTTGAAAGGTGATTAGATCCAAGTTAGGTCTTAGTTGGCTGGACCCCTTACGGCCTTATCAATTGGGGCGTGCTGGGTATGTCCTCTTACGGGTAACCCTTTGAACAGCCGGTGTCACCTGCCCAGATCAACCATAGGCTTGGCGCCCACCTGACCTAAGGAGAGGGGGGGGGGGATCCTGGCTTGGACCAGTTGCCAACAGTCTCAAGTGGGTTCCCTGTTAGTGGGGCGCGGGGGATAAATCGGTATAGAAGTCTAAATGGAAGTTGCAAAACCCGCACAAGGGTCTTGATGCAATGTAGTCTGGTATGTGTCAAAATATTATATTTTTCTTATTATCATTATCATTATCATTATCATTATCATTATTATTACTATTACTATTGCTATTACTACTACTACTACTACTACTACTACTACTACTACGACTACTACTACTACTACTACTACTATTATTATTATATTATTATTATTATTATTATTATCATTATTATTATTATTATTATTATTATTATTATTATTATTATTATTATTATTATTATTATTATTATTATCATGACTATTATTATTATTGTTGTTGTTTTCGATAAACACACCTGTTTAATGTTGTTGGGTTTTCCTGTGTTTGTCTTTTTCTCCGGTTTGTTGGAAGGTATCAAATCGGCATGCGGCAACAAAAGAGAAACACGCCCAAAGGTGGGCTTTGGAGCCCGCATTTGGACGAACTCCTCCAAGCGGCTGTATCAAAAGGCCCGTCTTTCCGAGCCAAAACGAAACCAACCATGTCCCAACACAGATATGTATATATATATATACACATATTCACCCCCCCCCATGATCTACATTTCTATGTGTTTTGGTTCCAAACCAGAATATATATATATATATGAAAAACAATTGTTTTCCTTCTTCATTGACGAGGGGAAAAGCTCAGAGCTGATAGCGCTGCTTTCTGCTTGGAGGCACCAGACACATACACACATACCACAATGTAACGACCAAGCTCATTGATTCATGCTCGCCCCGGATCATAAGACCTCGCACCATAATAAGGGTATGTGTCCCCGAAACTGCAGTAACCTCACGAAAGAGACGCCCCTTATTCTTGGCCGAACTTACATTTTGTCTGCAACAAGTTGACTGTTTGCTTGCCAGGGAATATGAAGGAACCCAAAAGGGCCAAAGGGCTGTCTGGGCACAAGAGCAAACACGATAAGCACATGTAGCCATGAATCTCAATAGGGAACCTCAGAAGTGATTGGTGAACATGAATCCCCGAAGTGTGATGTCCACGAAAAGGTCTCCAATTAAAATTCATGGCCATGTCTGGCAACGTAGTAACCGACCTGTTTCCCAGGTTCTCATTTTGCATCCCGCGGATTGGCACCTGGACGGTTGATCGTCAGTGGCAGCTTCCTCGTCGTGTAGCTCCATCTCCTCAAGCGGCGAGAGAAAGAAGCCAAAGCCCAAACCCTAAGCTTCCATTTGCTTAGTCCCCTGGGAAAAACCTATATGTCCAGTAGTAGTAGTAGTAGCAGCAGTAGCAGCAGCAGCAGCAGCAGTAGTAGTAGTGATAGATTCCCTTTAAAACCAACGGGGCAAACCTTCAACAGACTCTTAAGCAAATGGAAGTAAGGCATCAATCATTCACCCATGGGTTCTCTTAGGCGGTGCGAAATGGATTTCTTAGCCATCCACTGGAAGTGGATTCCCTTGGTCTCGCAAGTTTTTCTCCAAACAAGCGGCAGGGTTCATGAAAACCCACACCGAGCCCCAAATGGCTGTTGCTCAAAAACATGCACCAAAATGGCACCTTGGTAAATGGGCCAAACAACTGGAGCGTGCGTATCCCTGGCTCTTGAATTTTGAGCCACACCCAAATCTTGGAGGTGGGAAACTCCTGGTCTCAAGACTGAACGACTCGGCTTCGGGACAGCTGCCTTGCAAAAGAAAAACAAAACAACTCGGACTCATGGTACCTTCCCCATTCTTTCCAGGGATCCGAATCTTTTCAGGAAACCATCAAAAACCCAGGCGAAACGGATCCGGTTTTTCGAAAAGAACGATGGTTGAAAAGAATGGGGAATCAACCCCTAGAGCTTTGCTTCGACCGGGGCTGTGAAGCTGGTGGGGGTAGACCCGGACCTGGACTTCACTCGACGGGATTGACAGGTGCTGCACCTAGGGCTATCCCCACCTTGGAGGAATTCTCCTAGAGCAAATGCAGCTTGAAAGTCAGGCTCCCCAGAAGTGGTTTGGATTTTGGTAGCTGGGGATTTGAACCCCAGTTCCTCTTGAACCAAGTGGTTTGGATTTTGGTTTGGGATTTGAACCCCAGTTCCTGGTGGAACCCAAATGCGGAAGGTAATTGGTCCCTAACGTTCAAGCCACCACACCACACCAATGAGCAAGCTGAGAAAGAAGCCCTGGGTAAGAACTAAGCAACGGATTCCCTCCACAAGGCCCCACGCCCCAGAAATCGGCGTGTCGCTCAAGAGGACTCCCGGTACTGATTGGTGCTTTCGCGGGCTTCCCGTGGCTTCCCTTCTGGGTCCTCCAGTAGAGAGGTTAGCAGAAGGGTACCCTATTTTTCCGGTTTTGTCTAGTTGAGTAGGGAATTGGACTCCCAACCAAAAAAGACAAAAGGGCACCTAGCTGGGGGACCTAGCCTTGCTTCGAATCGACCGAACGCTTGGCATGCCGGTATGGAATCTCCGCTTTCTCGGTCCTTGCAGCCCAGAAGAAGCAGCAAGGTGCCTCGGAGGCGAGAGACGAGAGAAGCGCAACTGGTGCAAGCACAGGGCTTGTCTTTGCTTGAGGCTACCCTTTATAGCTGGTGTTAAAATTCCAAAAGGACAACCACCATTTCTGGTGGTCCGTAAAGAAGACGCCCAAAATCACTCCGGATCTGTGCAAAAACATCCTTCTTGAATTGGCATACTTCGGGCCAGTGAAACAAACAGCTTCGTTTTCTGACAAGATAATCCCAAGGATGGGGTTCTAGCAGATGTCAGACAATCGGAGTGCTTGAAAGGGATGAACTGCTCGGACGTGTTCCGTGTTTTCATGAATTCCTTTCCAACTGGTATGACCTGCTCATGGTGTGAGGGTCAAGGCTTCAATGTGGGTCTGTCGTTTTTGGGGGGACCCAACAAAATGGTGGTGCTCCTCTTAGTTTTCCCTTAAAACCAACCAAGAACAAGTTCCCTTGAACAAACTCCCCCCGCATATTCTCGGTATGGCTTACTTGGCTTCCTGCCAACCAATGGGCTCAGAATAGTGGTCAGGGGTCAAACCCTTCCGCTGGCCGAGACACGCTCGTCCAGTCCCCCCGCATATTCGGAAACGGTCAAGGGGCAAACCCTTCCCGCTGGCCGAGACACGTTCGTTAGTCTATTTTAGTAGGGGAACCCTCCCGACCAAAGAAGGGGCGAGAGAGGGCACCACTGGGGGACCTACAAGGGGCAAACCCTTCCGCGGGCCGAGACACGCTCGTCCAGTCCCCCCGCATATTCGGTAACGGTCAAGGGGCAAACCCTTCCCGCTGGCCGAGACACGTTCGTTAGTCTATTTTAGTAGGGGAACCCTCCCGACCAAAGAAGGGGCGAGAGAGGGCACCACTGGGGGACCTAGAAGGGCAAACCCTTCCGCGGGCCGAGACACGCTCGTCCAGTCCCCCCGCATATTCGGTAACGGTCAAGGGGCAAACCCTTCCCGCTGGCCGAGACACGTTCGTTAGTCTATTTTAGTAGGGGAACCCTCCCGACCAAAGAAGGGGCGAGAGAGGGCACCACTGGGGGACCTAGAAGGGCAAACCCTTCCGCGGGCCGAGACACGCTCGTCCAGTCCCCCCGCATATTCGGTAACGGTCAAGGGGCAAACCCTTCCCGCTGGCCGAGACACGTTCGTTAGTCTATTTTAGTAGGGGAACCCTCCCGACCAAAGAAGGGGCGAGAGAGGGCACCACTGGGGGACCTAGAAGGGCAAACCCTTCCGCGGGCCGAGACACGCTCGTCCAGTCCCCCCGCATATTCGGTAACGGTCAAGGGGCAAACCCTTCCCGCTGGCCGAGACACGTTCGTTAGTCTATTTTAGTAGGGGAACCCTCCCGACCAAAGAAGGGGCGAGAGAGGGCACCACTGGGGGACCTAGAAGGGCAAACCCTTCCGCGGGCCGAGACACGCTCGTCCAGTCCCCCCGCATATTCGGTAACGGTCAAGGGGCAAACCCTTCCCGCTGGCCGAGACACGTTCGTTAGTCTATTTTAGTAGGGGAACCCTCCCGACCAAAGAAGGGGCGAGAGAGGGCACCACTGGGGGACCTAGAAAAGGCAAACCCTTCCGCGGGCCGAGACACGCTCGTCCACCAAGACCAAGTACAAGAAGTCCAGCAGAATCAGCGCCGCCACAAAGTCCCCCGACATGAAGCTGAACTCGTGCAGGTGCAGCCGGCCCCTGGCAGGGCCAAAAACCCCACAGTTGTTCTGCCTGAAGAAGCGGGGTCCATTTTGGGTGCCAGAAACAGAAGCCCGGAAACACATATATATATATATATATATACATATGTATGCCAATATATACATATATATATATACATATATATGTAATCATATATATATATATGTGTATATATATATATATGTGGGCCAACGAGGAAAGCATTGGTCGTTTTGGCTTATTGATTCTGGGTTGTGGGCGCTTGCCGCTTGCCCCCTGAAGTTCGGAGGGCCGGTGGCTGCTATACAGGGATCCGGATGCATTATACACCTGAGCATTGCAACTTGTAAATGGTGGTGTCCCTTTATGTTGGCAAAGGAAACATGTTTCAAGTGGTTGCTAAAATGTATCTTTTAAGGAGCCCTGCTATGGAAGCAGTGGTAGTAGAAGCTGAAGCCGTGGTGGCTGGGGTGGGAGTGGCAGTAGTAGTGGCAGTGGCAGTGGTCGTGTCCGTGATTGCAGTCGTAGTAGTGGTAGTAGTGGAAGTTCTGGCGCTGGTGCTGGTGCGGGTTCTGGTGGTTGGTGGTAGCTGGTGGTAGCTGGTGGTAGCTGGTGGTAGCTGGTGGTAGCTGGTGGTAGCTGGTGGTAGCTGGTGGTAGCTGGTGGTAGCTGGTGGTAGCTGGTGGTAGCTGGTGGTAGCTGGTGGTAGCTGGTGGTAGCTGGTGGTAGCTGGTTGAAGTAGTAGTGGTAGTAGCAGTGATGCAGTAATAGACAAACACGAAGGGCTATAGGAAGCCAAATGAAACCAAGGGATTTCATTAGGGGAATCAAAGGGGAACCAAAAGTAACACAAGGGAGCAAGTTTGCGTTGGGTTAAAAGTTGCCCTGACCTTGGAACAACGGTGGACGATTGGTAGATGGAAGGACACCACTGGAGACGTGGCGAGCTTGTACCCGAAAAACCAAACAAGCATTGTCTGCAGGTCCGCAAATGTCTTGGATATTTTGTTTGGTTCCACCTTAGCATGAACAGGTTGCACATCAATCAAGATCTTCAAGTGCAACTAGCCAACAACAGTACCGCAAAGGAAACCGGTTACAACAAGCTGAAAATCCAACAGGTCTGATTCAGATGCGCTTGAGTTTGCTCCGGTGAAACCTTCGAAGCGCCGATTTGCATCAAATCTCCTGAGGTAGTGCTGGTAGGAGACATAGGCATCCTGCGAACGGGTCAGCGCTAAAAAAAAATGACCTACCTTTGGGTCGGGAAACAAAAACAACGAAAGGAGAAGCCGTCAAAAGGTAGCCTGCCAGTCACGAGAGAACATGCCCCGGCAGGTCCCTTCACAAAACTGATACAAGAGATGCACGTCAGGTACAACATTTCTGACCCGAGTTCCCCAAAAAGTGAACGATCCCTTTCAAGTGGGATATTTATTTTCATCGAATTCAACAGGGTTCCCACAGTAGTGGCAGGGGACAGGTTCCAAACTGCCTGCGAAAGAGAAATACAGCTGTGGGCCGCTGGGGTTTGTTGCCTTATTTTCCAAGTTATTGTTTGGATCTGCTTGTTCTTGATCTAGCTTACCAGACTACTACAAGAGTACCAAACCACTTGATCGCGCAAACCCATTTCTAGACATTACCGTCACGGGGTTGGGCCAACGCGGAAACAGGAAACTCCTTTGAAGGGAAGCCTGGCTGAGAGTCTCCAAACACCATTGGTGAAAACAATGACGTGTCTTTACAGGTGAACAGTAAGGCTGTGATCTCGACCTCGCCAAAACATCAACTGCCCTACCGCTTGGGGAAACCCCCTCGAAAGGTCCAATGCAGGTCTGTCTTGAAGTAGATAAACCTGAACGAATACTCGGCTGGGTGGCCTTCTTATTACATGTTAGCACCACCCAAAATACATCCCAATATTCGAACAACACATCAACCACCACATGCTCCAGAATCAACCCACCAAAAAAAAACACCGCCAGACCATAAACAAGTCTTTTATTGCTCTCCGGCTTGGGACATGCCCTTCCGTCGGAGTGTGTGTGTTTTGTTTTTTGCATTATGTTGCTGTGCAAAAGGTGGTGCTTTAAATGACCACATCTGGTAGTATCTTTTGAGCAATCCGAACAGAATCCGCTTAGCCCCATTGGCTTCGCACTAACAAACAGGCTGTACATCTTGGAATATTTGCGGCCCAAAGAGGAGGGCGCATGGAAGACTGAGAAGGACGCCAATCCTGGAAATCCTCCACTTGCACCTGTTCGTTTTCCAGGGCTGCGCCTATATACATCGCTTTACACATGCGTGGATGTATTTATATTTATATACATATACATATATGTCATATGTATATATGTATATGTATATTGTATATACATATTGTGTTATGTAAAAATCAACTGTTGGCAGAGGAAACACCAAACAGACACACCTTTCTTCATATCGTGGTTGCAACGTATCGTACACCTTCGCACAAAAAAGTCTGCCGCGCGAACCGATGATTAAGTCGCTGGATGTCTTTGGTACACCATTGAGAAAAGGGAACTCTGTGTTTTTTGTCTTGTCATTCCTGCCCACCCTGTCACCCTGACCCAATGATCTGATGCACTTTCTGGCATGTTTGAACTCTGCGGCCCCACCGACACGATTTGCACCAAACACAGCAGTCGAAAAAGGGAAACCGTCGACCAGCTCAGAGCTGCTGGCTTCTCTTGCGACACGTGTTGGTTCTTTGTTCCTTTTCTCAGTTGTTCAGTGACCCTGACAAAAAAAGGGAACCCTTTTTGGGGAAAACAATTTTTAGTGGGGCAGCCACCAAAAAAAAAAGGAAAAAATGGTGCCACTGAACAACTGAGTGCTGAGTCTCCCAAATTTGAAACAGGCCAGGGCGCAGAAACAAACTCATAGAGGTGCTTGGTGCCGAGCCTCACCACGCATTCGGCGAAAAGATTTGGGCCAGGCAACTGCAAAGTGACCAAAACCACAGACCCGCCATCCGGGTCTTTGTACGGGTGTGTTTTTGGGGGGATCCCCTTGCTTGGATAGAAATACCATCCTTTTGGGGGCCCTCTATTTAACACACACACACACACAAACTAAAACATCACCGGATTGAAGAGCAGGTCCAAGCTGGCACAAGGTGATGTGGCTATGGGTCAAAACCCCGTACCCCCCAGTGAGCATCCCAATCCCCAATAAAAAAGACTAAATTGGGTGGCGCACCTACCCCAAAATGGTACCATTGGTGTTGACCTACGGCCATGATTGAACCATCCAAAACGAGAACCATAAGGCCCCCAACCCAAAGAAGCCTTTGAAAAGGTTGGCTCGGCCTTTCTATCTACCCAGTTGAAGGTCAGCCCTACTGTGGATGGACAAAATCTCTTCGCACCAGTTTGAAACCATGGGAATCCATTGTTTGTTGATACTTACAGCGGAATCGAATCACTCCAGGGTTTCTGAGTTCGGTGGTGCGATTTCTGGATTTCGTGCATCCACAGTACGAACAGGAATCGCAGCAATGTTGCTCTAACGGGCAAGGGGTTGTACAAGCCTTGAGGCGTGCCTTGATTGCAAGGCCTCAATGCATCGGGGGAAGCATCTCTTGCATCGGGTGGTTTGTGCAATTGTCTGACCTCCTTCTCCGGTTCTTAGCTGCAAAGTATGTCATAGTACTTCAACTTCTGCTAGCTGCCACACGTCACAAGATCGCCCCTTCCCACAACGATCTTACGCGAAAATGTTGCGAGACTAGGGTTCCAATGCATCTTGCTTGGTGGCCTGTGGGGGGGCCAGCGGTTTTTTAGGGGCATTGGATCAGCCTTTGGGGTGTTTTGACAAGGCTTCTGCCAACCTCCTGTTCAATTTGACATCTTCAAACGACCGAAACAAGGGAAGTGGGGAAATAGGTGAGTGGGAAATAGGGGAGTGGGAAATAGGGGAGTGGGAAATAGGTCGTTCATCCCTCCAAAGCTTTAAAGATTCAACTGTTCTATCCATGTTACTAAACTCGGTTGCTTCCTGCTCTCCTGCTAAAGTTTTTGTTGTTGTTGTAAAATGTTAGTGGTTTAATACGAAACCCATTCGTTGGCAAAAAGCTAAAGTCCTAACATCCAAGCAAAATGCACCAAAGAAGAGGCTGTAAACAAAACAGGACAACAACTACAGCAACGCTATCTAGCATCTTTAAACTCTGATCCATTTTTAGACCACCTTCCATCGTTTTATCTTAGAACCTCTTCCGGAGCAACCCCTTCAGAAATGAACCCAAACGAAGCGTGGGTGAAGCCAACTAGCCTCACCCGGCTCATGTGTTCCTTTCAGGGGGCGCCTTTCGATTTTCGAAGGCGACCCAAAAACAAAATCCGCACTTCCATTTCGCCCCCCGGAAACAAAAACAAAAACAACAAAAAGCAGTAGTGATAGTTTCCCGTTAAAACCTTCAAGGGTACCCTAGGCCCCACAGCCATGCGACCATCAGACTGGGAACCCTAGGAGGTTCTTGGACCTAAATATGAAGTTGCCTACCCCCAGAGGCCCCAAAAAATGAGCTTCCAGGGGCTCGGGCTAAAATCAGGCGTGGCTTCCTTTCGCTTTTCTATTGTTTTCAACAGGGTCCTGGCTCCTGGCCTACCCCCAACATCACCTCAGCCCAAAACATCGGACAGCCCCGCGTGCCCCGCGGGCCCCTTCGCCACTTGCAGCGAGGCGCAGGCAGAGAAACCGCACCGCCGCTGGGGCCACGAAGCCTTGACGCCGGCACAGCACCAGCTGCGGCAGCAGCGCAAAGGCGTGGAGGAAGTTTTGGAAGGTGCAGACCTGACTCCATCTTCTGGGTAAAAATCCAGGGTTTAGGGTTTAAAGTTACTCCATACTACTCCATATGCTCTGAACAAGAAAAAACAATCACTTCCACTTGGTTAAGATTTCTTTTCATGTCCCCCTCTTGGTTTTGAAGGGAATCTATCACTACTGGAAATACTGTGGATCATACATAGGTCTCCTTCTGGGTCAAAATCCATGGCTGGGTTTAAGGTTTAGGGTTTAGGGGACTCCATACTGTGGGTGAACGAAATCCATTTCGCACTACTTGAAAGCATTAAAACCCAGAACGTTTGTTGGTATGTACAGGGGAATCATCATGCCAGGGTTTCTTGGGTGGTGCAGGATTTTGTCCATCCACAGTGGGTCTCCTTCTGGGTCAAAATCCATGGCTGGGTTTAGGGTGGTTTAGGGTTTAGGGTTTAGGGCTCCACTGATGGTGACGCGAAATCCAGAAATCGCACCACCGAACTCGGAAACCCTGGTTTCTGATTCGATTACCCGACGTAAATACCAACAAACGATGATTTCCCATGGCTCCAAAGTGGTGCGAAGGGATTTCACAACCATCCACAGTCGCTTTTTTTGGGGTGAAAATCAGTGTTTCCCTGGGGGCATTGGAAGAAATCGATAGGTGTCCTGGCCAATTGGACAAAAAGGATAGGTGAGTTTCTGCATGGTTCATATAACACCCATCCAAACCGAATCTAAACGATCTCAAGCAGTGCCTTCTATTCTTAACCATGCCAAACCAAACAGGGCGTCGATCGGACCTCACGGAAAAATCGGAGGTCCATCGGACGATCGCTTCGGGCCTGTGGATTGCCAGGACGCTTTTTTGTTTGACCTAAACACGTCTAAAAAACGAATCGAGGTCCACCAAAAGGACCACTGATGGACCGTTTAAAACAACCGCCATGAAAATAACGGCCCAAGACCAAAGCCTAGGTCCTCCAGATTTGAGAGGTTAGAAGTTGGTACCCGATGTGTCTTTCCGGCTTTGTGATTTTGAGACGGGTTCGGAACCCTCCCAACCAAAAAAGAAAGGGTGAGAGAGGTCGTGCACCAATCGCCGGACCTGGGAAAGGGAAAGCCGCCGAACTGAGACGGTTTCGCTTCAAAGGGCCCTGCGAAACTGGCTCGAACTGGCTGCAACGCCTTGCGCAACCGTGGGATTCCTATCCCTACTGTGGATGGACGCGAAATCCGCTTCTCGCACCACGAAATGAAACCATGGTGGAAACCAGAACGTTCGTTGGTATTTGCAGGGGAATCGAATCATTCCAGGGTTTCTTAGGTGGTGCAGGATTTCGTCCATCCACAGTATGACCATTTGTTTGTCACGAGGATCGTATCACAGAAATTGGGCCGAACTCGCCCAATGTAACGCATGCCCCGAACCCGCCGAAGATCCAGGCATTGAAGCACAAGCGCAAGCTACTTCAAGCAGCGAAGTGTCCCTTCCAGGATTGAGCTCCCCAATATTTTTCCCCCCGTGCCCATCCCAAGGCGCAAATTGGGGTCTTAGGGTCCATGCCATATATATATATATATATATATAGACATAAACTAGTGACTGAATAAGAAACACCTTCAACTTGGCTGAACACACATGGCTGTGTCTTTCTTTGAGGCTACTCTGTTTTTCTTGGTTCAAAGGCAATCCAAAAGCAAGCAATCCCATCCTTTTGGCTGAAAACGCGGGGGTTTCTCATGGGGAAGGCCACAGGCCACCTTGTTAGGCCAAGTTAGCAAGTGGTTAGCCCAGGCTATAACCCACAGCCAGGGTTACCTTCTAAGCCCAAAACCTGACCATGTTTTTTCTCCGCACGGCAAAATACGGGTAAATTACGGCAAATTACGGGTAAATTACGCGCAAATTACGGGTTATATTTGGCAAAACCTTTCTTTCTTTTTTTTCGAGAACCCAGTTTTTTCGGTTTGACCCTAAAAAAAGTAGGTTTTGGGCTTAGCAGGTAGCTGTATGGGGCCTTGCGCGTTGATTGTGACGTAAGTTAACCTTACAAACTTGGCCGAGCCAAGAACAGCAGTCGCAATTTTAGGCCAACTAGGGCCAAATACGACCAACGAAGGCAGCAAAAGCCCACATAAGCTGCTAAGCACGACCAACTAAGGTCAACTAAGAAGCTGCCAAGTCTCAAGTACGACCAACTAAGGTCTCACGCGCCGGTCGGCCAAACCAAAGCTTGTGGATGGATAAAACCCATTTCGCACCACGAAATAAAACCATGGTTGAAACCAGCGTTTGTTGGTATTTGCGTTTTCTGAGTCCGGTGGTGCGATTTCTGGATTTCGCGTCACCATCCACAGTAGCACTGGTCAAGGCAAGGCCCAAAGCGTTTGCTGCTTGAGGCTGAGGCCCAACAGCCCAACATCCAGAAAACGGGTTTGGAGGCGGTTTTTGTGGATCCACCCCTGCAGGATATTAAAAGAGTACGAAAAAAGTACGAAAAAAGAAGCTACAGGGGCTAAGAACCGCTAAAATCCCACAAAGGCGCGTATCCAAACCGTTTTCCAGACAACAAGACTCTGGGTCTCCGGCAGTGCTCTGGTTGTCGTTCTTCATGAAGCTCCACATGTCGCTGAGCGAGAAGCCTAAGACCGAAAGACCCCATCCAAGCAGACACTCGGCCATGAAAAGTAAACTGCAAAGGAAACTGGAGGAAACCAAAAGAACAACCTCGGCAGGGCTTGTAAAAAGCTTTTGTGGATGACTGGCATAGCATGCAGTCAGCCGGTGGAAGACCATGACGGATTCTGACAAATCGAAGCGCGTGTATCCCCTGGACGAACACCTTACCTCACGACTTGCTGTTCTTGGATCTCCTGTCATTCGCCAAGGTGTACTAGGTCCTCCTGTAGAGAGGTTAGAATAAGGGTACCCGATTTGTTTCTGTAGTCGTAGTAGGGGACCCCTCCCCCAAAAAAAGGGAAAAAGGGCACTGCTGGGGGGAGCAAGTGTACCCTCAGTGCATCGTGCAAGCACCTTGGAATGGGTTGGCATATCGTCAAAAATGAGGAGCCTTTCAAATTGGTTTCAGCTAGGCTTTAGCTCCAAACAAACCTTCTCTTGCTGAATGTCCTGCAAACAAATCCTTGCCTGACAAAGAAAGCCAACACCGTTTTTCATAGGGGCTCATACATTTCCGAACAAGGTCGTCTAAAAAAAGCTTCAAACTGGCCGAGCTATTTCATGAGGTAGTCAGTAGGGGGCTAAAACAAATACCTGTCCCCTATTCCCCTTTTGGTCTCCTTTGGGGTAAATCGAAAATTATGCCACGGACACGAAATGGACATCCTCTTTAAACATCACCCCACAAAATGGAAACTGACTTGAACGTACCAAAAGGAGTCACATCTTGAGCCATGGGGCATGTGGGTCTTTTCTATATGGGGGTTGATCAATATGTTCGGGCCCCAAAATGACCCTGGGCGCTTTTTCTTCCCATTGAGTTGTGAAAGTCGTATGTTTTTCGGCGGTTTCCCCTTTTGGTCGCCCCATGTCTTCCGGACCCTTCTGATCAACCCATTTCTGATCAGAATGCTGCTTGAGCAACGGCAGGCGACCATCAGGGACAGGAAGCCCATGACCACTGCGGCCACATAAATGACCTCAGCTCGAGGATGAATTTGCAACTGGGGGCTGGGCGCCAAACAGGGGGTCAGGGAAAAAAAAACCTAACCCACCCCCCTCTTGGTTTCCATTTAGGGCATCTTAAAATACGGGCTACTTAGCACCCGTGCTTGAAGGTTCCGTTTTGTGGCCTAAGCCGCCCATTGACTTGGATTACATCCGCAGGCTTTGAGCATTGAGTCTTAGGCCAAATGAAACACTTGGGACTCGGGGAAAAAAAAAAAAAACATGGACACATCATCGAGTCACAGTTATTCCTGTGGGACTCTTCAATTCAATTCGAAAAAATAACCCAAATAAACATTCAGCCTTGTTTGGGTTGACCATGTTCAACCAGGAAAAAGGTGCGTGGCAGGCTACAAGTTCCACATTGCTTCGTGTGCTTCCTTCTGAAATAAGTTTAAATAAGTTGATCATACTGGTCAAACCTTGAACACAAGAACCTCGACTCACCCTTTGGATGGTATGCGTTTGTGGTGGGGCCGTGGTCGGAGCTTTGATAGGTCATTGCCCTATTTTTCCTTCCAGAAAATGCATCAAACGGAGCCAACTGATGAAACACACACACACACACATAACATCGAACACTTCTAGGAGGGATGGCGATTCCTAGCTATTCAGCAGTCCTCCTCACATATTTGATGGCAGCCTCAAACATAGCCTTGTTGGCAATCAGTATGTAAGTGTCTTTCCTTTCGGGTTGATGGTTGAATGAGACGTGCGTTTTTATATATATGTTCCAGGCCGTGGACCCCCCCCCCCCCGCCCCCCCCCCCCCTGTGGGGGGTGGGGTGGGTGTGGGGTGGTGGTTGGGTGGTTGGGTGGTTGGGCCAACCCCCCCCCCCCTGTGGGGGTGGGGTGGGTGGTGGGGTGGTGGGGTGGTGGGGTGGTGGGGTGGTGGGGTGGTGGGGTGGTGGGGTGGTGGGGTGGTGGGGTGGTGGGGTGGTGGGGTGGTGGGGTGGTGGGGTGGTGGGGTGGTGGGGTGGTGGGGTGGTGGGGTGGTGGGGTGGTGGTGGGGTGGTGGGGTGGTGGGGTGGTGGGGTGGTGGGGTGGTGGGGTGGTGGGGTGGTGGGGTGGTGGGGTGGTGGGGTGGTGGGGTGGTGGGGTGGGGGTGGTGGGGTGGTGGGGTGGTGGGGTGGTGGGGTGGTGGGGTGGTGGGGTGGTGGGGTGGTGGGGTGGTTGGGGTGTGGTTCGGAGTTGGTTGAGGCTTGGTGGGTTGGTTTAGGGTTGGTTCAGGGTTGGTTCAGGGTTGGTTTGCGGTGGGTTTCGGGTGGGTTTGGGGTTTGGGTTGGTTTAGGGTTGGTTCAGGGTTGGTTCAGGGTTGGTTTGCGGTGGGTTTCGGGTGGGTTTGGGGTTTGGGTTGATTTAGGCTTAGGGTTGGGGTTAAGGAGGGGTTGCAGGGTGGTTTGGTTTAGGGTAGGATGTTGCGAGAGGTGCGGGGGTGTTGGTTCACGGGGTGAAAGGGGGCCTGGGACCGAAGTGGACAGCATCCCCAGCATTGCCAGCATCATCCCCAAGATGCGGATGATGCGGGGGAGTGGGGGGACCATACCATTGGGGGGGGGGGGGGGTACGTGGCCCAGGGACTGGTACATATATATATATATGTATATGTATATATATATATATATGTACATATTGCTTTTGCTCGTTTGCGCGTGGATTTGTGGCAAAGCAAGCCATCCATTGGCGCATTCTTGAAATCACCAGCCACACAAATGGAGAAAAACCAAGGGACCAGCTTCACAGAAGCTTCTGAGAAGAAAGTCTTAGAAGGGTTCTGGAGGGGAGGGGGTGGGCACACCTGAAATGAGGGATGCCCGAGTATAGGACCTACATCATGGTGAGATCGCTTTGTTTCCCAGTGAGCTTGCCGCAAAATAGCAAGAAGAACTGCCGAGTTGCTGCTTTGCAGCCCCGCGAGGACAGACCAGGCAGGTTCAGGTCGTCCTGCAAAGGAACCCCATGGATCAGACCCTTCCCATGCCTGCGGTTCAGGTGCTATCCCTCATGACCATGTTCATCACTTGTGAAAGGTTAACTTGGAAGGTCGTGGGTACCCTTCAAGGAAACGGGCGCATAAGGCCAAATACGGCGTAACATGGCGTAACATCTGAACGCTTGGTCTTTCGAACAGCCAGCCGTCTGTGGTTTTCAGGCCCTGCTTCGTTTTCCTCCTTCCACATACCACTTTCACATTTCGGAAGGCTCATAGTTGTTTCTCACCATATATTTGCTCCACAAACCCCCATCTTTGCAAGTTTGGCCCTACGACTTGTTTTGTATTTCGTTTCCCAGTTGAACACATACACTCCAATCGCAGTAAACAAGCCTTGCGTAGAATCGAGTTGATTGTACCCTTGTTGGAGTGGTTTCAAACTTGGACACAAAAAGAAAACGAGGATTTCGCCATTCCGCGGGTTCCCCGATGTTGAACATTGTCCAACACAACTCGTTTCGCACGCCCCGGACGAACCGTGGGACGTCATCCTCCAGCAGAGGTTCGAATAAGGGTACCAACTTTTTTCCGTAGTCGATTGTAGCAAGGCAACCCTCTCCCAAAAAAAAACGGAAAAAGGGGACCAAGCTGGGGGACCTAGTCAAAGCCGTCCTCGTTGTTGGCCTGAGTGTCTTTGGCCACGCGCCAAGAGGCCAAGGTCCCAAAGCAACAGCCAACGAAGACCTGGGCTTCGCGGCTTCGCGGCTGGGCGCTTCGCGCGCGCTACGACAAACTTTGCCGGAAAGACCTGAAAGGGGAGCTCCCCCCGAAGCGGAAAAAAGAAAACAAACTTGGGGACTCCTTGGCCATCAATGATTCATGTCCACCAGCCACTGGGGGGAGGTGCCCTATTTGAAGTTTGCCAAAAATCATGACTCCTGGGCAGGCGGGTCCTTTACTCGATCCCCAAATTTCAGGCTCCGGAAGTACTGACGGACCGAATTGTCAAAAGCCTCCAGTTGGCGCGAAGTGGATTTTATCCATCCAAAGGGGATGAAGCGGAATCGGGGGTTTGTAACTTTAAAGCACATCCACTTTTGGTGTCCGCTTAGGGACATTAAAGTCGATGGGCTATTTGGCACCCAGGTAGACAGCTTAAAAGCACGAAACAGGGATCCCGTCTTCCGCATCCGCAATCTGTAGTGGGACACCAATAGGGAACGACTACAATCTGGCACAAGGGCTAATATGTTGTGTAATACGCGGATAGTAACTGGGTGCCAACAAGGGGAATCTGGGACAAACGAAACATGTCCATACCCAGTTGGTTTCCTTTATTGGCTTTGCAGCACCCAAACAACTATGCACTTATCACGCACCAAAAGAGGATTGGTTGGGGATAAGCAACTTACAGGTTTGTCACCATGGTTACAACGTCCTAGCTTGGTCAAAAGCACTGTCAAATGGGTTGCATCGAAGGATGGACTCAAAATTATCTCAATTTCTCTTTGTGCAAGGAACATGGCACTGATGACCCCTTTATCGCAGACTCGCCCGAACCTTGACCTACATTGGACGCTTTAGTAAGCAGCTTCCCAATGTTCCCCACCTTCCGAAAATGGGGAGGTGGAGTGACTTGGTCCCCCAATCCCATTGACAAACTAGGAGGGAGGGAGAGCTCAAATCCGGGACCCAAGGTTTCAATGTGTTCCAAACTCCTTGCATCAGGCAGATTGACTCTTTCAAGCTCTTTGCTTGAAGCGATGGGACTCACTGCACCCATGTTTCTAGTCTTCCAATCACCAAAACGAAGCTGAATCTCTCCATATGAACATCTCTAGGGTCGAAACTCTCGCCTTTTGTCATTCCCTTCCGTCTTCAAGCATCCTGAATGACAACATCCCCGCCTTCAGGGGGAAGGAAATGTGGAGTGAATGGCCACGGCACAACAAAAGAATCGGCTTCCTCCAGGATGCTAGGGCTCACCCGCTCCAGACAGACAAGTCCCCTTTGATTTCCTGCAACACAACCCCAACACAGGCATCATTGAACCCAAAACACAAAACCACATAGACTCTGTAACTGGGGGGGGGGCACATCATTCACTAGCCGGATATTGGCTTGAACTGTTTGCTAGTAGGTTGGGAACATGTTCATGTCTTGCAGGCTTGTCAGAATTCAAAGGGCGGCCTCGTATATTCCCCAGCCTGGCGATGTGCGAAACATGTTTCCCGAGCGCCAAGCAATGGCCAGCTTGTAGATCTTTCCTCAGCCCGCGACTTCTGATCAGTGGGTTTGTCGCATGGGGAACCCAATACCCACACACACACACACCTCAATAAAGGAACCCTCTCTTCGCCAAAACCTCCCACCACCCTGCCGGCCTATATGTTGCGGCTAAATACGAGCATCTTCACAGTCATCTCGTACTTGGTCCGACGAGATTCAAGTCCGGATTGCCAGCGTGTGAGATTGTAGCCTCTCTAAGCCTCGTGCGCCGGCGCTGCTACGCAGCTTGCCGCGCTAGCTGATCTTCGTAGCGAAGCGATGCGGTGACTCTTTTGGAGATTCCAGGATTGCGGAAGATTGCCTTCAGGTCACGTGAAGCAACTGGGCAACACAACCTTTCCAGCATGGTAGCTTTGCAGCCAGTCAAGGTCTGCTTGCCGCAAAGCGAAGCCAACCCTTGTTATTCCAAGAGTGCTCGCTTAGGAGCAAGTCTATGAGCAAGGCTGGGGCTTGAGTTGCGCTGTTAAGATACAGAAGGCGCCTGCGAAGCTGGTCATCCAAGTTTACAAGTGGCCCAGCGGCAAGACCTGCTCGTTGGAACGGGAGACTGAGCCTTCCTGTGTGCCAGGAAAGAGGTTTGCCTCGGCTGTGCAGCTTAGTAACCACTGGTTCAGGGCCCACGGAGTCACCTCCATCACAGCGTGCTTGACTGAGTGCTATCTCCCTGCCACATTGCAGAGCCATCTGCGCCATGACGAGAACAGTTGCAACAGTTGCGTGCAGTTCCTCTTGCGCCGCTGTGGTCGAACCTGAGGCACGTGGAACTTGAAGCTGGCCCGGCATCGCTGCTGGCCTTCTTTCCCACAGACCTCCTGCTAGTTTCACTGTCAACCGGGCCTGGGCATGAATGTGTTAACCTATGCTCTCCGAGATTTCTTCCGGGCGCGGCTTTTTGCCAACCCGCTGTCGAGAACTCTGCCTCTGCGTCGCAAGCGCGCGCGGGTCCGGGCCCCGGAAAACCCCACGAGGGCCCTCCATGGGACCCCACGAGGGCGCGCCGGGTGCATCTGATCTTGGGGATGTAGGTCCGGATCTTTAGCTTGCAGGTTGCCGGAGTCTTGGAGCTGTTTGCATCCGCAGAGAGAGACCAAAAGAAGGAAGGAAGGAAGGAAGGAAGGAAAGAAAGAAAGAAAGAAAGAAAGAAAAAAGAAAGAGAGCGGGAGAGAGAGCAAAGAGAGAAAGAAAGACAGAGAGAGAGAGAGAGTGGGTGACCGAGATTTGAAAACAAACTCAACCCAGTTTCCTGATTGTTTCCATTTACAAAGCAACCCCGCATTTGTACAGTGTTTGCCTTCTGGCCTTACTAAAAGTCAAGAAAGTCAAAAAGGAGTTCAGTCCTCTTTGGTTGGGATTTCAAGGGAAACCAAAATAACCAGTTGTTCAACCATTTTCTTGTCGCGACTCTCACCCACTGTGATGAAAGTCGTTGGGAATAAGACGTGGGACGCCACATTTAGGGGACCACTATTTTGGGAAACCCCCAGTTTAACTTTTAGTGGGTTAAATGGAAACCCAACCACCAAGCCAACTAAAATGCTAACAGGCTAAGGGACCCGATGGCTGGGAGCCACCAGGACACCTACTTTGGGAAACCCCAAGTAATTCACAAGCATCTTCCTTTGGGGCCCTTCGAGCAAGTTGTGGTTTCCTGCTGGTTTCGGCTGAATCGCCCTTTCTTGGAACACAACCTGGCGGCTATTGCGCCCTGTCTTGAAAGCCAGCCTTGGGCTCAAGGGACCCCTCCTCCCACCCCACCCCACAAACCCTCCCACACCCCACACCCCACCCCCCAACCCCCAACCCCCAAACCCCAAACCCCAAACCCCAAACCCCCCGCCCCCCCCGCCCCCCCCCCGTTCCGGGTGCCCTCCGTGAATCCCAAGGCTCGGCTGTTGGCGCGGGGTAGGTTCATGGCGCTGAGGGCCAGCGCCAGCGTCAGAGCCACGCAGCTCTGCAGGGACACGTGCTTCGCACGGCCCTGACGAAACCCACCCACCAATGGAAACCAATGGGACCCAAGGCCGTGGGAATGGAAACCAATGGAAACCTACCCATGGAAACCAATGGGATCCAAAACCGTGGCTGGGGACCACCAATTTTGGGGAGTCCTTGCTTTGCGAAGCGTGGGTTGAATGGAAACCCATTCAAACCAACCAAAAAGAGCTAAACACCTAAGGGGCCGGATTGCTGGAAACCACTTTTTGATTGGGGGTGGCGGGGGGATTCTCAAAATCAAGCCATGCGAAAAACTTTGCTGGAGTTGGTTGACTCCGGC